GCCAAGAAAAAAAAAATACACAATATTGGAGCGGAGAATGGTGAATGTGAGGCACCGTTGGGTTATACGAATGCTTCAAGGCCTTCCTTCTACTAAACCAACTGCCTCCATTACCGAGATACAGGGCGCTCATATTATAAGGTAAGGTTATAAAAACCATCTTTTAAGATCATTTTAGTGAAAGTTTCATGCTTCAAGGCGTACCATTCACTGCTCAAATACTAAAAAACCTGCTTCCATTGAAGATATAAAGGGCGCTCATATTATAAGGTAAGGTTATAAAACCACCTTTTAAGATCATTTTAGTGAAAGTTTCATGTTCCTATCTCATAGAATTTAAGAACAATGATGAATAAATCATTTTCGAGCAAAATTTAAATGGCCGGCTGAATATATTACCGCAGGAGACGCAGCCGCGGAATTTAAATTACTGCGTCAAAGGGTTAATTAATACTTGTGGCCAGGGAATATTAGTTAGCAATAATAGTATTATTCTTTAGATATACATGCAACTGTAAACTGGTTTCCAAGAATAAGCATATCAATGAGCTTTTATTCTCAGTTATTTACTTTTCCATTGGTTTCCGCTCTATCCTAGAAGCGTTACTTCACATTTGTTGAGGGACTCGCTCTTTTTTACCACTGGATTATCTTTGTGCTGATTATATGTTTCTGACTTAAATAATCACTAACTTTTCCTTTATACCATTCTGTTCGCAAGTTTCAGAAATTTTTTTAACAGCAGGTATTTTTAATTGTAACTAGTTATTACACTTAGAGATGTAAACATGTATAAGTATTCTGTGAGGAATGTCCACTGAAATGGTAAGCACATTAAACTTGGAATGCTCTCCAAAATTCTGTCCTGTTTGTTTGTAGTATCTGTAAAGGATTTGAAGGTATCGTTGTTAAAGCTTTATCAGTGCCCAAAACCACAGAAGAATTGATGGAAATGGGCAAATACATGCAATATGCCAAAACCACATTCATGAAGAAGATGAAGACAGAAGTAAGAGTAATGATACATAAGATGATAAAATTGATGGATATGAGATTTCTCACTCAAGAACATATTGATCTGAACACAAAAACTATTCTGTGGTTGCAAAATATTAAGCCGGTGTTCAAGCATAATTCAGTGGTAAGTACATGGCAACAGTTCTTTAACTTGTTATGATACCCTGCTTATAGCAGCATTTACAACAACAATGACAACAGCAGTAGCAGCAACAACATCAACAGCATTGTTACGTGTAGGATAATATATGTGACGAAATGACGGGTTCTAGTTTGGATGATTGGATTTATTAACATCTTGGTTACACACACTTCATAATTCACTGTGACATGCACACTAGTCCTCTCTTGGTAATGGATTTCAACACAGAAATTAGCGCTTCAAATCACTCCAAGTGTTACACATAATTCAAGTCTTCCAATTGCATGCCAAGCCTTCACACAAACTTTCTGTGTCTAGCTTCCACTGAGAACTCTCTCAGTGTCAATTAAACACTCAAACAATTGAATCCTCTGAAATACTCTGAAACACTGCCTTGGTTATTCCTGCAATCTCATTATACAGAGTGTTTCAAAAATAGCTTTACAACTTTGAAAGCTTATATAAATTTATACAGAGGACATACACAATGTTTTGAAGTGTCATAATGTAGCAAAACACGCTGAGTTTTACCTCGGATAGTTATGGTTCAATGTGACTTCCATTGGTAATGCGGCAGACGTCCCACCTGTAGTCAGTGTCTTGCCACATGCTACGTAGTATCTCTGGCGTCACTTCTGCAACTGAGGCAGTAATTCGAGTTCGGAGCTCAATGACATTTGCAGGCAAAGGTGGTACGAACACTCGATCTTTAATGAATTCCCATAAGAAAAGATCCGGGGAATGAGGTGGCCATGCTATCAGCGCCGCTCTACCAATCCACCAACCTGGGAAACGGTTGTTGAGGTACTCACACACTTCTCCAAGGTAATGAGGGGGTGCGCCATCTTCCTGGAAGTGAATGCGTCCTTCTTGGTCTCTTCATCTAACTGTGGAATGAGGAACTCTTGGAGCATGTCCAGATATACAATACTGGTAATGGTCATCTCCATGAAGAAGAAGGGGTCATACACTCTTTCTTTGCTGAGGGCTATCACGAACATGTTCCAGGGAGACACGTGGATTTTTGCTGCCCCAGATCCTGCAGTTGTGGGTATTGGCCTTACCACTGACATGAAACATGGTCTCATCACTGAAAATTATGGAGTTCAGAAACTTCTCATCATCTTGTATCCGATGAAACATTTGCACACAGAATTCCTTATGAACCACTTATCTGCATCCATAAGGTGTTGAACGATGGCTAGTTTGTACGCTTTTAAGTGTAAACGTTTTTGTAACGCTCGCCACAGAGTAACATTTGGAATGCCAGTTTCCTGAGACGCATGTCGCATTGACTTACTGGACTTCGAATGAAGATCTCCCTAATCTGTTCCACTGTAGCATCAGAATCACCTGGCCGACTGGGTGGCTGGCATGGCGCACAGAACATCTGGTCTGAACAAAATTCTTGTACCAGGAGTAAATTGTAGGCCTACTGGGAGGTTCCTTGCAATACTGAGTGCGAAATTTCCTTTGAACTTGTGTAGCAGACTTCGTTTCTTCGAACCAAAACACACAATGTGCATGCTCTGTACCTGTGAAAGTAGCCATCTTGATTTCAACTGCTGGAACGCTCGCGGTGGCGGTATTGGGTACTACAGGACAACGTGCATGAAGCTCGGTGTGTTTTGCTACATTATGACAGTTCAAAACGTTGTGTAGGTCCTCTGTATAAATTTATATAAGCTTTCAAAGTTGTAAAGCTCTTTTTGAAACACTCTGTATAATGTCCGTACCGACCACACGTAGCCTATATTCTTGTAAAGGAGTGTTTACTGCAGTGGTCTCAGCACCGACTGCATAGAAAACGCTATATATTGTTGCCTTGTGTTGGTTGCGAGGTGTTTAACAGCCAGTCACCTAGCAACGCCCTGGTCATCCATGTTACAGTATGATGATGATGAGGAGGAGGAGGAGGAGGAGGAGGACGATGACGATGATGACGACGACAACAACAACAGTGACAGTGACAATAATGATGTGACTGGCCTATTCTCTGTGTCTTTCTCTGTCTACTGGGCAAGTCACACATACTTCTGAATACAGAATAACTGAAATGGGACCATATTTTTGAATGAATGAAATTATGATCCTCTGTGTTTTTTTTTCCTAAATTTGAACCTAGATTGTTCCAAAGTTTAAGGATGTCTCCACAGAATTTTTGCAATTTTGAATTAAAGTTCTGACTTCCTAAAATTTTTTGTGCCAACTGTATCATAAAGTGAATAAAATGTATTGAAATGTCTGAAATTACTTTCAGTTCAAGTCCCATTTAGATCCACCTGAAGATTAGGATGAATGTAAAGTGGTGGAACTCGGACAGTGCCTCATATTATTGATGTTATTTGCTTTATGTGACTATTTCGTGTGACATTACTAGTAACTTGCAAGTAATTTGTTGTCAGGGAGTGATTGAATATTATAGAGTCAGATGGTAAACATTTAGGTAAAAGGTAAAGTTGTCCCTGTGCTTAACTAATTAAGCAGTACCCCATGGAGACGTGTGGGGGAGTGGGTGTATAGACCCACATTTTCTTAACCTTGGCACTAGTTTGAGGTGAGTGGTCAGCTTCACACCCCAGCTACCTTATCCCAGGAGAAAGAGCCCCCAGTACCCATTGGACAGGAGGCTGGCTGGACCCAAGAACTGGTCTGGATGACATTGAGAAGTGAAAATTCTTGCCCCTACTGGGATTTGAACTCTGACCCCTTGGTTGTCCAGCCTGTAGCTAGTCACTTTACTGACTGCACTGTCAAGTGTTCTTATAAAATGTGTTGGATTTGAGTCCATATTTTAAATCATAACACAACTGTTCTTATTATCACATGAGGGAGTGACTACAGAGAGGATTTGGATTGGTGATTGGATTTATTTGTCACTTACAGATGGTAACTACAAGTAACTTTAACAGCCTCACTGGTGTATGCAATCTAAAGATCACTGTAACTACAGCCCACATAAAGTCTTCTATGTCTCCACTAGTCATTTCCTGGTAATGGATCTTAGTACTCTCCCCTGCTAACATCCTTACTGGCTGGCTAGTATCCCACAACTGACTCCTTGCCCCAACTGTGTTAAGTCCCAGGCTGGTGGCCATCTCACATCAACCTCCCGGTCTTCTCTTCACTGACTGACTAACTGCAGCTCCAAACTTGTCTCACTTATAACATCTGAGCATGGACTGTGTAGAGAACACTGTCCTCATTGTTGTAGTTCATTTGTTTCCATGGGAACATATTTGTTTGGAAATGTGTTACTCATTAACATCTCTTGTGTATTTACTCATACTTATCTTGCAGTCGTTGACCAGCAATGGGTCTGCCTGCTAAAATAGACATTTGAGGCATCTGTGGTAACCACTGATATTCCTGGGTTCTCTTTTTTAAAGGAAAATGCAAGACAAGGCTATTAAAGTTAACAATGGACAAGGAGAAACAGAACATTTGTAGATGTGTTTGATTAGCCTCATTATTTTTTTCATGGATGCTTGTAAAGGAAAGTTAACATTATTATGAGTAGATGGTTCCAGAACTTGTTTCGGCATAATTTGTTTACTGCCATGCTGGATACAATGTTGAGTTTTCCTAAATTTGAAGCCCTTGTACTGTACTGGAAAGTGTAATGGCTTAAAATTGAAATCATATTCCTTGAATCATAACAAAGGAAAACTAACAGATTGCTATGCTTGTTTCTGCAGAACGTTCATCACCAAACTGGTAGTTTCTGCATTTCTACAGCACCTCTGGGAAAAACTGAGTTAAGGCTTTTCAGGCACTTATTAATTTTAATAAGCAGTTAATTTGTGAAATATATTATATTATATTTGTTCTTATTATTTCAGCTTTATGAACAATACAAATCTGAATTTGAAGAAAATTTGGTGAAGAAAACTGACAGTCTTATGAAGGAAATTGAAGCCATGTTTCCACGTCTTGCAGTTCTTGACATGATGGATGACGCTGACAATGTCAGAGAATATCTTAATGTAAATGTTAATGAACTTAATTATTCAATTTTAGATAAACAACTAAAATGTTTCAGTGAATTTTAATATTTTAATGTGTGAATGTGTGTGCTCATGTGTTTTGAGTGTTTATGTGACATTTGTGCATCTGTACGTTCACCTTCAACGTTCTTGCTTTCTGACTGCATTCACACATTATAACATCTCTATTATGCTTAGGAACAATACTGGAATCATTTTGCAAACACTTTTTAATAACATCGTTATATTGTCCTAAAGGTCTTGAAGTGATTCTAAAACCTACCATTTTAAATGAATTCTTAGATTTTGGTTATGGAAAATTTATATGGGTACAAATCAGGCAAGGTTTTTTTATTGCTAATGGGGTGGGACTAAGTCCCTTGTACTGCGGCCACTTCTGGCCTATTGTACCAGCCCCAGACGATAGGTGAGGGTGATTGTGGAGCAGTTGGTGGAATGAAGATTGGCAGGGGAAACCGAAGTACTCAGAGAAAACCTTCCCCAGTGCCACTTTGTTCACCAGAAATCCCACTTGACCAGACCCGGGATCAAACCCGGACCACCGCGGTGTGAAGCCAGCAACTAACTGCTTGAGCTATGGCGTGGCCATTAGGCAAGGTTACTTAATAAGCCAAATAAATGCAGAATTAATTTATCTGGCGAATGAAAGGGCCACTGCAATTCTTTCCAACTTTAAAATAGAAACGCTATTTGCAGGAACAGATTCATGATGAATAATTTCCTTGATATAAGGAAGCAAGTTTGATTTTTGATCTTAGTATTCAAGCATATTTCAAATGTGTGCCCACTCACCAGTTTTGCCAGCCATTGCACATAAGTATCACACCAGTTATTTGTAAGACCTCTGCAGGCTTTGTGAAACAGTAAAAGCTATATACTTCGGTACGAAAAAAAAAGATATGACTTGTTGCATTATCAGCAGAAAGCCTGTGATTGCCACTATCATGCCAGATATCACATCAGATGAATACTTGAATCTTGTCGGTTTGTCCTTAAAGATTGGGACAGAGTATAAATTCTGGATATCTTGGCTAATTTATAAAAATAAGACAAGTTTGTCTGCTGGCTGAATGACTAAAATTGTGATTATCATTGCATACAGCATATCAGGTGGTTTATTCGAAAGCTGCAGGCATTTGATGAAACAATTGTTTGGATAAACAAGGAGGAAGGGCTGTTCCAGTTCCCAATTTCAACCTATCCAGAATTAGATGAATTGAAGGTATGTAATGTATTCTTGAAGATTACTGTTTTGTCGGATGTGACACCATTCAGTAGATAGGTACCAGTATTTCAGAGGAATATGCTGTTTACATCTTCATTATACAGCTGCATTATTTAATGTCCCAAATGTGGCAAGTACCTCGAGTTACACTATATTTTCTTCTTCATTAAATAGGGTTTTAATTATGCAGCACATCAGATTTTCACTTTTCCTTCTAACAAGTTGCATAAAATAAGACATTTTTGACTAAGTAGGATATACCAATCAGAAATTTATAACCCACACAGTTTTATTTTTGTTACCCCCTTATATTTTGTATGCAGGTCATGTGATGGTGCAAACCACTTACAAAATTTGAAATAATAGTGTTATTAAAATGTGAGTATATTTTTATCTACTAACGAAATATTGTTTCCTTTCTTTATGGTCAACAAAATTAAATGAATGCCAAGAAAAGGTTAAAATGAAGAAATGAGCTCTCTTGGCTTGAAATTAAATATAAAAATCTGTGATGTTGTGGAAATTTCTTGTGCCCAGATTTGGAATTAGAATGTCAGAATTAATTTTGGAAGCTATATTTCTTTTGTTGGCTGGTGCTGTTATTTTACCTCTGTAGCAATCCAAAAGGCATCAGATCATGAGCGTGAAAAATGAGTTTAATTGTTGCATGTCTGTTTTTTGCACATTTCATTTTTGTAACTTTATTTATAGTGAAAAATATTTGTTAAGAGGTGGAGCAAATAAATGAGGATTTAAAAAGATTCAAATTCATATGAGAATAGCGTTGTAAGTTACAGATGTTCTTTGTAACTCAGGTTGTAACAGTAATAAGAATAAGGATGAAGTTAGAGGTGCTATTCTCTGTGATGGTGCTTCAGGTTTATGGGGGTAAGGGTGACTGCGGGGAGCTGAACTTAAGATTCAGGTTTGTGACATAATGTTCTGTGTTTCATAAAATTTTGTATATAGCTTCAGTCATAGTCTCTCTTCTTGCATAAAACCATTGATATTGCAAATTTCCATAACCATAAAAAAAGTAAAGCTATCCGTGTAAGAGGCCACGCACATCCATAGGGTTGTGAGACGTTGAGGCTCCTACATTTTCTAGACAGTCGATTTGCAAATGAGCTTCATGAGCTCACAGCCCTTTACCCCCAGGAAGATTCCTGGTACTCATTTCTCATAGAGGCTGAGTTGACTCCAGGGCCATAGTGCAGCTGGAAGTATTAGGTCAACTAAAAATCCCATTACCTCATTGAGAATCAAACTTTTCTTTGTATTCAAACACATATTGGCTTTGTTTGCATTATGTATTGAAAAACATTCCTTGGGTGGCAGTAATGTAGTTTCATCTCCCTAGCTTAATTGATGACAAGAAATTTAAAATTAGTTATGGATTCAAAACCACAAAAATGTGATTTATAATATTTGGATTTATACATAAATATATTAAGAGTGGAGTGTTGCATGTGGTAGTGTAGTTGGTTGAGGCACTATGCTACAAACCGGAAGGTTGTGGGTTCAAGTCCTGATCAGGTTATTTGATTTTTTCCTTTGACCTCATTCTTCCAGCAGCATTATGGCTCTGGAGTTGCCTTAGCCTCTGACAGAAGTGAGTACCAGAATATTCTTGGAATATTTTTGGGGGTAAAGGGTGGCCAGCACGTAGGGCTGACAAGCTTGCCGCAATCTATGAGCCGATTGTCTAGAAAATGTGGGAACCTCACCATCTCACAACCCTATGGGCCTCCATGGCCTGTTACAAGGATACCTTTACTTTTTACTTACTTTACTTTATTAAAAGTGGATAATTACTTGAGGACTTACAGAATTTTTGTTATTGTGTTTATGTTAGGGTAATGTAATAATTGTGGAGCAATATGAAGTATCTCTTTTTATTTATTTTATTGCAGAGTATTATCAATCCATTTGGAGTATTGGTTTTCCTAGTCTATAAATGGCAAAGAACACGGAAAGTATGGCTGGATGGAAATTTTGATGATCTTGTAGCATGCGAGGTTGAAGAGAAAACAGAGGATTTTTACAAGTATGTAAATAATGTATGTGTGTGTGTGTATATATATATATATATATATATATATATATATATATATAGACATTCTGAATGAACTAATACTTATATACAGTTATTACAGCTTCCATACAAGGTGGTATCAGAAGGTTCCCATACTGTTATTGTTGTAACTGTCTTGGTGAAAGAAGACACCAGCAAAATGACAGAAAATGTTGAAAAATTTGAGAACTCATCCACAAAGACCATCGCCATGAGGTTGCAGACACTGTTGGGATCAGTTATGGAGTTTCATAACAGAAAATTTGAACATGCACGGCATTGCCATGAAGTTTGTTCCCCAACTCTTGACTGACGATCAAAAGCAGCGGCGCATAAATGCGTCTTGTGCCCTGAGAGTAGGCTAACAAGGACACAACTTTTACTCATATATGTAGGTTCATAATGGGTGACAAAAGTTGGATTTACAATTATGATTCAGAAACACAGCAACACTCATCACAGTGGAAGAGTCAACAGTCATCAGGAGCAAAAGGACGCAGCACGTCCGGAGCTCAACAAAGAGCATGCTTTTTTTTTTCCTTGAAAGGGATTGTCCACCGTGAATTTGTTCCTGCTAACAGAACGGTCAACTCTGACTTTTACGAGCACTGTTACATTTTGAGACGCTTCAGAGATAGTGCATAATGAGAAAGATTTGAACTTTGGTGCAACCACAACTGGCTCCATCATGACAACACACCCACCCACACATTCCTGTAAACCTCAGAGTTTGTGACTAACAGCAACATGGTTATCATTCCTGATCCTTCCTACTCAGTAGGCTTGCCCCCTTTCATTTGACTTTGTTTCCCAAATTGAAAATGAAACTGAAGAGACAATGTTTTGAAACAGTGTCTCACATCCAAAGGGGAATTGCAAGCGGTATTCGACAGCATTAAGGAAAATGGCTCCCACAGTGCTTCTTAAGCATGGAAAAAATTATGGGATTGCTATATACATTCTTTTTGGACCTAATCCAGGAACTTTCCGATAGTGAATAATCTTTTTGCTTCTTAGCTGTATATTTCAACCTTGTTCACTTGTTACATCTGTGTATGTGCATGCATACTTGCATACCCTCATGTCAGTAGATAAGCCAATTAGGTTTTTCAATTTTTCTATTTTTATAATTACATTTTATGCAAGGAAAGAAGAGAAATTTGAAAATATGGCAGTTTGAGAAGTTGGAATGAGCTAAAACTGGTATTTTGGACAATGTTCATTATCTCAGGTTTCTTCAGCCACAACATTTTGGAAAGTCCTTATTTTTACTTCATCACTTGACAGGACAATAAGGATTCTTATTCTGCAGGGTCCTGAGGCAGTGTTCACATACTATCTTTCTCATTCCAAAATATAAGGGAAATATTTTAGCCTGATGAACAACTATTAGCTATTCAGGAATGCTTCCCTTACATGGAGTCAGTAAATTATTCTAAATATTGGGTGAAAATCCAAGTGGATAACCATTCTCATCTTTTATTGAGTTGCATGATACTTTTGGACTGGAAACCATTCTTGCATTCTTTCTATACAAACTGTTGATATTTTTATTTGTAATGTTTCTTTTGAACTAATTAAAGTTTTTTGTACATACCCTATCTTATGTTCCTGAAATTTCTACTAGTTTCACACCTTAATGTTCAGGCAGTTTACATTTGGTTTTCATGGATTTTGCACCCATTGCAGTTAGCCTGTCCCCTTTGATCTAATAATTTTGAGCACTTATCTGTAATCTTTATATGTTGCATCCTGTTATGTTTAATTCAAAATGAGTATATTTATATTTTTTGCCACAACAGTTCATGTAAATATGCTAACATAGGTTGTTTTCACTAAAATATTGTCGCGTATCGGGCGTATATCGCGACAACTTCTCGATGTACTTGATGTAGCGAATTTTATTTCACATTCGCACTTAAGTCACCAAAATTACAGATTTATGATTACTGCTATCTGCAGTATCACAATTAGTACGCTCCAAATGCCACAGTACAACTGACTGGCTGACTGACTCTGAATACAACTCGGCGACTGTTACAGTACAACTGACTGGTAGCTGCTGTGAAGCTCACTTATATAGCTGCAGTGTTTGCCGGTTGCATAATGAGTGCCACGTCACAGTAGGGAGTTGATTACGGGTACCTAGCGTTGCGCGTTACGTCACCGTGGAGGGGAGTGGCGGGGTAGGAACTCGCCTATTACCGTAGTAACGCGAGCGTTACGTTACCGCCACGTACCGCTGGGGAGGTAGGGGTGATCCATAGCTCAACATGTCACACTGCTCCCTCCTTAAGGCTGTTCGTCCTGAATAGCCTAACGGTGTATCCCCGTTCCTTTGCTTCGGAGGCTGTTCTTGCAGCATCTTCTTTGTCCATTACATCCGCTCCCTTCTTAAGATCGACTCATCTCGAGCGGTTTCCTTTCAGCTCGCCAGAAGATCCAGTTGTGTCCCATTCATCCATCACTTTCATTCTTCCTTGGGAGGCCCGGTACTTCTACACCACCGGTTCCTCCTCTGCTTGAAGTATCTTTTTCCGTTTTGGAGGGGGTCGTCCCCTCCACGAGGTCAAATCCTTCATCAGGTCTTCCGTCGGAAATTTCTTACATCGACGTAACAGCTCTTCATGCGTCGTTTGCACTCGCTGATGTCGTCATTCCTCCTGGACTTCTAGCCACTTGCTGGCGCGAGACCGTGGCGCCAAATCCTTTCTCCGGCATCCGAAGGTTCCCTGGGGAGTTTCCTTCTTGAAGTCATNGCAATGGGGCCCTCTTCTTGTTGTGCCGCCGCAGGTTTCGTGTCCACTGGGCAGGCCACCGTCTCCTTTTGGGTAATCGGCATCAATTGATCTTCAGGTTCACTGACCGGTATCACTATGGGGACCTCCTCTTCTTGTGCCGTGCCCACTACATCCTGTTTTTCGCTTGGATTTGTCTCCATTGAATCTTGGCAGGCTGTCGTCTCTTCCTGCCAGGCATTCGTATTGGTTTTCAACCTCTTGGCTCGCATGGCGGCCGTCCTGGCTTCGATGGCTTTCGTCTCTGCCTGGAAGGCTTCTCTCTCTGCAGCCATCGAATCTCGCCAGGCCTGTCTGTCAGCCTCCCATCCTGCCATGAAATCCTTATGATCTTTCCTCCTATTGGCTTCCATTTCTACCCTGTCTTTCCTTCTCTCTTCCTTCCAATCGGCATACAGTCTGGCCGCAAATTGCTCCTGGGCGAACAGCAGACGTTCCATCATCTGTTCCATGTCCATGTTGCAGCAGTAAAACACTCGATGCACAATAATTCAATTATTTGTCAGGCGTGTTTAAGTTCGTAAAAATTCTGACACCAAATTATCACGTGTTTTGAGTACGAATCTCGTTGATCACGTGTGTAAGTCCTAATCCCACTTCTGACACCAATGTAACGTGCTTCGTTACTGAATAGGCCGTAGAGACGGTTAAATGGGTTTATTTAACAATCTACAAATAACGGCTATAATTAATGATCAAAATATTACGGGTTTCCACACTTTACAAACCCTACAACAAAATCTCTTAACACAATCTTCACTTCTCTTCGCGTACTAATAACGCGGGAGCTATACAAGTCTCCATGAAATACACACTCCGAGTATAACTGTACTACAGCACTCACTATGTCTGGAAAGCACACAATAAGTCTTCCGCTCGCTGACTTCTTAGTTATCGCACACTCGCAGGCTGCTATGTTTCGACTCGGCGACTGTTACAGTACAACTGACTGGTAGCTGCTGTGAAGCTCACTTATATAGCGGCAGTGCTTGCCGGTTGCGTAATGAGTGGCACGTCACAGTAGGAAGTTGATTACGGGTACCTAGCATTGCGCGTTACGTCACCGTGGAGGGGAGTGGCAGGGCGGGAACTCGCCTATTACCGTAGTAACGCGAGCGTTACGTTACCGCCACGTACCGCTGGGGAGGTAGGGGTGATCCATAGCTCAACATGTCACAATATTAATGTGACATATTTCGACCCTTATTGGTTCATCATCAGGTGTATCGCTTTGGGCTTAACACTGAGCTTTTTGTTTAATATGGATCCATTTCCTTTCTTTAATTTGACAATATGATGTGTGATATTGCTTAATAACAAAACCTCTTGTTATTTACTCTTCAGTTTAAACTGTAATGGCATAATAATAAACACACACATACACCAAATGTCAATGCCCTGAGTGGGATTCGAACCCATGATTCCGGCTTCCGAGTGAGCAAAGACAGTGCATGCCTTAGACCACTGAGCTACCCTGACTGGCGCTTTACCTTTTATCTTACTTAATATATAACTTATGAGTTTGTTTCCTTAGTGACAATTTCTCTCTACATTTTGCAACCACCAGATAGTTGTCACTATTACAGTCAACTTATTGTATTGTATTGTATTGTATTTATATTTGTTCAAGAAATCCAAAAAAGGATATAGAACATGTCACAGAACTAAATATAAAACAGGATACATGCATAAATTACACGACTAGATAGTACAATGAATCAAACAATAACAAGTTTCAAAGATCCAAAAAA